GTGTGAATGGTCGTCCCCCCTTTCCTCGACAGGGGGTCGGTGTCAGCAGAGTGTGTGCACAGCAGAACAGATCGCAGCAACGTAGTAGTGGCAGCATAGCCGATGTAGAACGAGTTTCGAAACTCAGCCTAACAGAACAACTCAACTTTCTAGAGTCTCGCCGCAGTTGGTAGAGCGAATCTATTTCGGGGCTCCCAGGGGAGGGCTCGCCTTGTTTTGTGGAACCCAGCGCGCACTGCAGGTCGCACATATCGAATAAATTGATGTGCTTAGTTGTGGTTGATCCTTTTGACCCGAGGCCCGACGCAGCGACCGACCGACCGACCTCATCTACCTCCTCTATGTTGTGTTCTCTCTGCTCCCTGTCCTCCTGCTCTTCCTCCTCCTCCTCCTTCTCCTCCTCCTCCTCATCATCACCATCGTCATCATCACCCCAACTCTCTAGTATCCCTCCCCTCTTCCCTCCTCTACATATCCTCGGTGCGACGCAGACCAGCAGTGAACTGCGCATGTGCAGCGTGCTTTACGAGGGGAGCGTACAATACCGAGCGCCAACACTCATCCCTCCCCCTCCCGAACGGACTGGGACGCCAGGGCAGACCGCGCAGACCGCCCTGTCCAACAGTCGGGTTCGCCAGGTCTTCCTCACGGCTTCTTGACGCTCGCGATTCGTTCACTTCCCCCTTCTTCTACCTCCCTCCCTCCACTTCCCCTGGTCGTTTCTCCTCCCATCTCCTTCGCCCGTTCATCCTCATCCTTCCGTTCTTTTCCTCTTCTTCTGGTTCATATTCTGGCCATGGTCCGCAGATAACCTCATGTAGTTCGCATTGAATTGTTGATCAATGCTTGGCTTACCACTACTGGGGGCCCATCTAGGGTTGTAGATGATTCCTGGAGGGTGCTAGGCCTCAGTCGTGTCCTGAGGTAACGCTCTGCACCAAACCCGCGAAGAAACGCGCAGAACGGGAGAACTGCGGGTCTTGTCGCAGGAAAGGTAGGGGGACCCTTCGCTACACGGTGGATCCCTGAAGCCACCGTGCCAAAGAAGCGGGGGGGGGAACCGATACATGGTCCCGCTGAAAGCCTTTGGTCTCAGGATGTTTTGTTCAAGAGGCCCAAATCAGGCTCCAGGAAGCCCCTCAAGAGGCCCCGAGAGGCCCCAGGATGCACCCAACATCGCCTCCAATAGGCTTCCGAGAGGCATCCCAAGAGATCCCCACGGGCATCCAAGAAGCCTCTGACCTACAACACATGCGCGGCGGCGGGATGGGCCGAAGGCCACTAGATCCGCCGCCCCCTGCTTGCAGGGGTGCACGGCGTGCTGGATGTTTCAGTTTTGGTTTTGGTTCTTTTTCTAAAAGAACTCCCCAGTGGGCTCCGGCCCGTCCCGCCGGCCACGCGTAAATTGCCGAAAATCCGTCTGTCAATGCCCAAAAACGGCCGTTTCGCTCGGGACATCCTCAAAAAATCGCGAAGATGGCCCAAGATGGCCTCCAAGTCCGCCCGAGATGGTCCAAGACGGCCTCCAAAACGGCCCAAGAGAGTCCAAGACGGCCCAAGACGGCCCAAGAGGCCCCCCAGAGGCCTCCCAGACGGCCCAAGAGGCCTCCAAGAGGTCCTCCAGGAGAGTCCGAAGAGGCCAAAATCATTGATTTTCCCTTGGTTTTTGAAGGATTTTGGCATTTGCGCCTTTTCGGCTCTCCGACGGCTCAAGACGGCCCAAGAAGCCCCCAAGATCGCCCAAGAGGCCCCCAAGAGAGCCCCATGATGGCCCAAGTGGCCTCCAAGATGGCCCCTAGAGGGCCCCAAGAGGGCCCAAGAGGCCTCCAACACGCCCAAGATGGCCTCCAAGACGCCCAAGATGGCCTCCAAGACGGCCCTGGAGCATTCCAAGCGGGCCCCAAGTCGGCCCATAGAGGCCCCCCAAATGGCTTCCGACGGCTTCAGACGTGCCAGGAACCCACCAAGATGGCCGAAGTTGGCTCGAAGCTGGCCCGAGACGGCCCAAAAAGCCCGAAAGATCGCCCAAAGCTTGCCCAAGAGGCCTCCAAGACGGCCAAGATGACCTTCAAGATGCCCACGTGTTCCCCGAAAGCTTCCAAACCGATTCGGGGAACACGTGGTCCGATAGCTTGGCAGGTCTGGCCTCAACGTTCGGCCACATAGGCGCTTCCAAAAAGGCAGGGGGCGGCGGTGATTCGCCGTAGGCGTCTTCGATCCGCCGCCCCCTGCTTGCAGGGGTGCACGGCGTGCTGGATGTTTCAGGTTTTGGTTTTGGTTCTTTTTCTAACCCCAATGGGCTTCGGCCCGTCCCGCCGGCCACGCCTAAATTGCAGAAAATCCGTCTGTCAATGCCTTTGTTGCCCCAACTTGGCCCAAGATGGCCTCCAAGACGGCCAAGATGGCCCAAGATGGCCTCCAAGATGCCTCCCAGACGGCCAAGATGGCCTCCAAGACGGGTAAGATGGCTCCAAGATGCCTCCAAGACGGCCCAAGATGC